TAGATCCTACGGGATCTATTGGTTTTACCACCGCTTTAATCATATCAGATGTTGATGCGGCGGGGTTGGTTTTCTAGGATACATTTAATTTATGTTTTTCAGTTGATCCTTTAGGATCGATGGTTACTGACGCTGTTTTTTGTGGTGTTTGACTAGTTTCATTGACTTTGGAAACTGGTGTTTGCGCTACTTCCTCTCCGACCTTGGGAGTTAACCAGCAGGTCCCTGCTCAATTGGCGAACCTAAGGTTGTGATGATCCGTCCCCTCCTTCTAGCACCAATTGTTCCAGGTCCGGATCTAAAGGTTTTGACTGCGGCAAGCTGGGTCCAACTGGAAACCTGCGCAAGGTAACACACGTGACTGCCCTCGGGGGTGGTTCGAGGAACCCCCATACGATGCTTAAGTTAGAATGTGTTTAGAGAGAGACAGCGTAGTTAGAGAAATAGAGAGGGTGTAATAACTTGTGTGTCTAACCTCTTTTCCATTGTATTTTATTCCTTATTTATAGTTGTACAATTTCCTTTGTGGAGAGTCTTACTTTGTTAACCTGTGGGCTGACTTTATTGGGCTGGTGAGCCCCTTTGAGTGTCCTTTCAACGGTGAGTGTGCACCCTGTGAGTCAGACCGGGAGCCAGGTCATAGCTCAGCGGCAGCCATCCCACACAGAAACAATTAACGCTAGAAGGAGGGGCTGACTGAGTTTTAAGGGCTAGCAAGTGAGAGAGCTAAGGATAAGCTTAAACCGCCACCAACCGAGGTGGTTGTCAAAAGTTGATCATAAATTCCAACTTCGTATTCACCTAGATCTAGCACAAAAGTACTACTACAATGCTAAAGATAGTAGATCTAAAAAGATTGAAGAACTAAGATCTCAAGGCCTCCATCTACCACACTTCAACATCGATCGGTTATAGGATGAAGCGGTTCATCAATTCCTGATCATCTCCAAAACATAAAATCAGGCAAAGTTTTCCACTCTCATTATAAAATTTTTCACACAAAAGGCATAGTTAAGCGCTACATTTGCTGATAATCAAATTGAGTAAATATGTATTATAGAAGACGCATGATTAAGAACTATATTGAAGGTGGGTCATCCTTTAAAGTTGCCTTGAAGCTGCATCATATGATAATTAATATTGGTATTGAGCTAGTAATTTGGCAGTTCGCATTCTTATAATCTGCATATATTGAAATGCCAAATGCGAGTCTCATCCTTTATAAAAAATAGCATGTGTTGACTCTTTATTTGGTTGGATTTAAGAAGAAAATTTGTAGTAAGGACATGGTTATTAGTGGGTAAATTCAGACGACTTTTTTTGTGGATAATTACTTAGTTAAAATGTTAATGAAATTTGACAAACTGAATACTGATGAGTGTCATTTATGGCACTCGAATAGCATTATTCTAGGATGATTTTAGTTGCTTGTATTGCTTTCTTTATGCCTTTTTCCTAAGTTTTAGTCTTTTATTCTCTAGCTGCTCTCATTTTAGTTATTTCTCCCTTTTTCTTTGTATTTTCATAGTATTTATCGTCTTTTCCCTTTTACTTGGTTGTTTTTCTTTATTTTCAAGAGAAAGGTGGAGTCCAAGGCCCTTCATGGTCCTCGGGTAAGAACATGTTTAAGGTGCAAGGTAGATGATCTCTTATGGCTCATAATGCAAGGGATGGTTTACTCCAAGACTTGATGCTTGCGCCCTCATGCTGCGCTCTCATGAAAGTATGGTGTTGAACCCACCGTAAACTCATTTTTTGACTGCCATCCCCAATAACGATCAAGAGGAGCGCACCTCTTGCATTGATGGACGCACGGAGGAGAGCCCCTTGTCCAGGTGTGTGGGCACGCAATCCTCGCGCGCAGGTGCGCCACCTGAGTCCCCTGTTCCGTACCCTCTTCTTCGCAGCCGCACATTCCGGAGTGAGGGAGCCTGTACAGGTTTCTTTTGAACGTCCACTTTATTTCCATTAGTTAGTTATTCTAGAGAGATTATGATGCATAGGATTGATTACGAAGGATAGAGAGAGAAAGTTCTTAGATTTTAGATAGAGAAACTTGAGAGAATTACATGATTTCTAAATTTGATTTCCTTCTACTTTGGATGCAAGTACAATTCCTTTGATTTGATAAAAGTTTGTAAGAATCTTCTTCTTTTTAATTCAATATTTTGCATTTGATTTTGATCGTTTGTTGCATTTTCTAGTTTATAATTGATTTGAATCTAAATAGTTTGTTGCAATGATGATGATGATTTTGATGATTAGTTTAGTTTTGTTCTTCATTTCCACCATGCTTAGTGAGTGGATTCCTTGCTAAGGTGATGGTGAAACATGCATGAATGATAGATCATTGCTAATTGTTGGATTTTGATTGATTGAATTATGAAATTAAATTGGTTGATAGAATTGGACATGTGTTTGAATTGTTAAGAAGTAGCTAACCTTGATTTTCAACCTATATTGCATTGTGATCTCTAATGACACGAACCAGTGATTTAGGGATTACATTTATCGATTAAATTTGATTTGTGATTCTTCTGGCTAGTCATTAATAGAGGAAACCTAGCTTGACTTATAGGAGATAACCTATTGGAATCTCTTGATTGCAGTTACTATTTTCCTTTGCAACATTTGGTTGATTTATTTCCTTCATTTAGCATAACTATCATGATTGTATGTGGATCCTAATCCCTAGTGCTTTTTGATATTGATTTTTAATCTGATTTTTCTTTGTATGATTAGTTAACTTGACTACACATTCATATACTCTTCGATGTAGCATAACGAATAGACTATAGTAATTGACCCCCCATTCCTTGTGGATCGACCCTCGAATTACCCTGTACTCAGTTTAGGTTAGGTTGAGTGTTATAAATTTTGTTGATAAGGTTTTAAGCATTTACCAATATGTTTAGACCCTATATCAAATGGCGCCGTTACCGAGGAATGGTGTAGTTGTTTGCTATAGTTGTTGAGTCTATTTCATTTTATTTGAAAAACACAAAAAGATTTTTCCCTTTTGGTTACATTGGTAGCCGTGCTACTAATATTTTCTTTTGAGATTGTATGCATAGAGCCTGTGGTCATACTCTAGTGCTATTCGATCCGAAAATAGAGAGGACAATTACAAGGATAAGAGTTGCTAGACGTTCCTTGAGTTCTAGCCCTCTAAGTGAAGAAGTACCACAAGAAGAAGAACAAGCAATTATGGTAGAAAATCCAAGAGTGGCATTAAAGGAATTGGGAATTCCGGTTACATATAGGTTTGAGAACGGGATTGCTCCACCTACAACACCGGCAATTGATTTTGAAATTAGACTAGCAATGATCACTTTGATAGAGAGGCGACAATTTAGTGGGGCCAAGCACGAGATTCCTCTAAACCACCTCAAAGAATTTGAGAAGAATTGCAACACTATCAAAGTGAATGGTCATCCGCCTTAAGCTTTTCCCCTTTTCTCTCATAGGGCGTGCCTTGGAATGGTTAGATAAAGAAGTCAAGTTGTACACACTAAGGACATGGGATGAGGTTACTAAGAAATTTCTATCCCGGTTTTACTCACCATAGAATTTAAGCATAAATCTAAGGAAAGTCACTATGAAGCTTTAGAAAGGTACAAGGACTATCAAAGAGAGTGTCCTCACCATAGAATTCCTACCTACCAAATCATTCAATTCTTTTATGGTGGTTTAAGCCCTTAAAGGAAGTCTTGTCTTGATGTGGGAACCGAAGGACCCATCATAAACAAAACGGAAGAGGAAGTTGTGGATATCATTGAAGATGTAGTGAGGCATTTTATGGATTGGCAAGACGGTGAGCAAGAATCAAAAAGCAAGAGTGGCTCTACGGTGTACTCGGTTGATAACCTCAATGCCATCAACAACTCATCCTCAAAAACCTCAAATCTAAGGAAGGAGATGACTTCCATCAAGGCAAAATTGGAGAGTGCTTCATCTTTAACACCTACTCTTCCCTCCCAGAATAAGGGGAGAGGTACATCTTCCAACTCTACTCCTCTTTCTACTTCCAATAACATTCCTAGTGGATGCTTGTTTTGTGATATATGTGGTTCGTATACATGAGCATGATTCTTTTAATTGCCCTCATGCCTTTTCGGACGGATGTGATGATTTTGATGATAATATGAATGAGCATGTGAATTATGTGTCCAATAACATTACTGGTTCAAGGTTTGATAATCAAAGAAGCCAAGGGAATAGGAACAATCACAACCAAGGCAATTTAGACAACTATAACCAAGGTAGTGGCTATAAGAACCAAGGAAACCAAGGTTTCCGGGGTAACTATAACAATAAAGGTTATAGTGGCCAAAATCAAGATCAAGGTTATGAAAACTAAAATCAAATCTATGGCCAAAATCAAAATAAGGGTAATTAGAACAATAAAAATAGGGGAAGTTATCAAAACAATTCTCAAAGGGGTCCCCCTCCCGGTTTTCCTCCAAAGACCCAAGGCCAAGGTGATAATTCCTATACTCAACCTTCTTCCTCTAGGTCCAATTTGGAAGAGATAATTGAAATCAAACCAAGATTTTGAACACATACATGATGGTTAGTGATAAGAATTCAATGAACTTATGACACATAGCAAGATGCTTGAAACTAAAATAACTCAACTAGAAAACACTTTTAAAGAGAGTGCAAGTCATAGCTCTCTACCTTCTCAAGGGATTAATCCCAATAAACCGGTTTATTCTATCACTACTAGGAGTGGTAAGGTCCTTGAAGAAATTGTTTCTAGAAAGAGCAAAGAAGTTAAGAAGGTGAGTGGTTTACTTGATGAAAATGAGCATGGTTTGTCTAACAAAAAGTGTGAGGATGTCGATGACAAGTTCAAGATTGAAGAGAGTCTGCAAATAGATGTGATCAAACCCAAACTTCCTTACCCTCAAAAGTTCTTGAGGAGCAAGATTGATCGTCAATTTGGATAATTTCTTAACATCCTTAAGGATATCCCTTTCACCGATGCTTTGACTCAAATGCCAAAATATTCTAAGTTCCTTAAGGAAATTTTGAGTGGCAAAAGAGAGTGTAATGAGGTTGATTCGGTGAAGGTTGGGGATAGTTGTAGTGCCCTTATCAACAAAGACCTACCCCCTAAGATGAAAGATCCGGGAAATTTCTCCATCCCTTGCAATATTAATGGAAAAAGATTCCAAAATGCTCTTTGTGACCTTGGTGCTAATGTTAGCATCATGCCATATTCTGTCTTCAAGAAGATTAAGCTAGGTGAGCTCCTTCCAACCAACATGACCCTACAATTGGCCGACCGTTCTATTAAGTTCCTCAAGGGTAGAATTAAGGATGTCCCCCTCAAGATTGGAAAGTTCACTATCCCCGTTGACTTCATTGTGCTAGAGATTGTAGAAGATGACAACATTCCTATCATTATAGGGAGACCATTATCTAGAAACTTTGGATGCTTTGATTGATGTGCAGGGCGGCCTTTTTACTTTGTGAGTTGGTAATGATAAGGCAAGTTTTAAACTCAAGTCGATGCATGAGTCTCTATCCTATGCGTAAGGAATTGTGTGCATTAACTCATTTCCCTTGAATGATGATGCTTGCATGTTTTTGTCTTCTACTAATGATATGCTTGTATCTTGTGCTGATGCTCCTAAATGTGTTGAAATCAAGATTGTTAGTAAAGAAGACAAAGAATCCTCAAAGCTTGATAATGAGTTTGAAATGCCTTCTTGGTTTGAGCATTCTTTGAAGGACAACGAGGATAGTTTTTCAAGTGTTAGTCATGTGGAGCTCACGACTCCAAGGCAGAAGAAATCAAAGAAGAAAAAAAGAGTTCAAAAGAAAGTGAAGTTGAGGCATAATATGCTTGATCCGGTTTTTGTTATTCGAGATGATATGTCTCATGATTTGATTTTGCCAAAGCTTAGCAATGACTTTACCCTCTCCACCACTTTGAATAAGGTGGTCTTCTTTGACCCTCCGTGATTTAGAGAAAGGGTTAAGCTAGAGACTTTAAACTAGCGGTTTCTGAGAGGCAATTTGGCCCTCTAACTTTTCTCTTTTCATTTTAATTTTCATTTCTCTTTTCTTATCTTCACTTTTCTTCACTTGTTTTTGTGTTTGTATATGTAGGGTGTTTGCATGCGATTTGGATTCTTTTGATCGAGCATGAGCATCATTTGGAGAGGTTAGGTGTTTTTAATGAGAGTGAGCTTGATATTATTTGATTTTGAGCCAAGTGGTGGAAGGTAAATGCAATGAAGAATGATAGAACAAGCGGTTTAAGAAGGAGAAAAAGGTAAAACAGGGGTGTGCGAGCTGTCCAAAGGAAACGCCAAGAGCAAATTAGCAGCACGACCTCTTGCGCGACCAACGCGCGGGCTCACGAGCCCAGCCGAGCTACTTCCTTCTTCTTTCCTTTCTTTTTCCTCACTTCCTATTCTTGTAACTCCCGACACTCACTGATTCTCATTGTACACTCCAAATCCTTACCCCTAAATCTTCCCAAACTTCATCCTTACTCACAAATTTACCACACAAATCCATCAATTCCCACTCAATTCTCCTCTAATTAATCATTTTCTATACTACCACTCACCATTTCTTTTTCTTCAAGCTTCAATCTCCATTGAAGAGCAAATTGGGCATTTTTTAATCTTGGTGAATTGGTGCTCTAAGCTTGTTTAATTTTACTTCTTGTATGGTATAATCATCTTCTCTACTCTTATTTAGCTTGATTTATTTTATTTGTATGAGAATTTGATTATTTCATACTTGTGAATAGTAATAGTATTGATTTTTGGTAATTTGATGATTGAATTGATAATGTTGGTTCATGTGGTTGTTGTTTACTAACCTTTTTATGCTTAACATTTGTTGTTGTTGATTGTTTAGCATTATTGTTCATCTTTGGTGAATTTTCGGTGAAATTTGGAAGTAGGTTTCTTTGTTGATTTCTTGTGGTGGTAGTATTGTGGTGATTGGTGATATTGGTGTTGGTGGTGCTTATGGTTGATAAATTGAGTTTTTGGTGTTCATCTATGTGGATAAATCCTATCAAGAATCTTGAGATCTTTGTCCAACAAGAGGAGGGAGGGGAAAGATCCCCAAGTAAGGATTGAGGAGCCTCAACAAACCCCTCAAACACAAGCCTCAAATGACCCCCTACCTCTCCTAACTCTTAAATTCCATAACCCTCTACACAAATAAATCTACATCGACCTCACGAAACGAATCATGCGACCTTTTCGCCATTATCATAGAGGAGATATGATCAAATTGGGCGTCAACGAGGATTTGTGGTTGCTTTTTAAGAACCTTCGGATAGGTGTTTTTGTAAACTGCGCCTTCTGAACCAATCTTGAACCTACAAGGTTGTTTCTAGCTTCCTTCTCTACCACCCCGGTTGGTGACTGATAAGCGCACTTTAGGGCGCGCTTTAGAGCATATAATAGGATGATTTTGGACGTATTTAGGACCGTTTTGGTCGTTTATTGCCTTGTTATGCTTATATCCCTTGTATTACGTGCTTCACAGGTTTCGGGTTGTTTTTGATGTGTTTTCAGGTATAATTGACCGAGTTTAGTCAGGTCCCGAGCCATTGGTACGTGATTGAGCCAACCTTGGTTGTATACGAGGAACTAAGGGGTTTCTCAAGAGTTTTCACAAGATGCACAAGTAGCACGGCCGTACCACACTCGGCACGCCCGTACCAGGCTGGCCCAGCAATTTTGACCGGGCAACACGACCGTGCAGAGATTAAGCACGGCCGTGCCAAGTCAGGCTAGTGCCCGTGTCAGCCAATTTCCATGCCCGTGCTAGGCATTAGCACGACCGTGCCAAATTCAGCACGGCCGTGCCAAATTCAGCACGGCCGTGCCAAAATTGAAGATATTGCGGATCAGCTACTGCCATGTTTGCACGGCCGTGCAACTTCTAGCACGGCCGTGCTGATTCAAGAAGGATCGCGCATTCAACTTTTCGGATTAGAAGACAAATAAAAGGCCCAATTATAAGGGTTGTTTTCTAGACAGATTTGGAGATAGATTAGAGACGTATTTTCCAGAGAGACTTTGTAGAGAGATAGAGAGCACTTCCGTAATTGAGATTCCATAGATTTGATCTAGTTAATCGTAGTTTTCCGGATTGATTCAAATCAAGATTCATTGGGATTCTTTGTATTATTCATTGACATCGGCTATCAAAGTTCCAAACTTTGTCATTGATTCGCATCAATACAATTGGTATTATTCATTGTTGTTTATTAATCAAGCTTTATTATTCCTTAATCAGAATTCATGTTTAGATCTATTATGCTTTTGGAATTCATTATTGCTTTGATTATGAATATGTGTGAGTAGTCTCCTAGCTAAGGCTTCGGGATGAAACCCGGCCTAGGTAATCTATGTAATTGAGGGTTGATTTTGATAAACGGATTGTGATTAAATTGATTATATGCGATTGCATGTTAATTCATTATAATAGGAGTAGCTAACCTAGAATCTTGAATTTGATTGCATGATATTCTGGATTTGAACAAGAGATTGTGAATTGAGTATTTCATTGTTGAATGTGGTTTTATTATGTATCGAGTAATGTTAAGTGCATGAGAAATCCAAGCTTAGTATTGCTCGTTCTCTTCCTACCACATGATATTAATCAGACATATAGTCTTTGCATATCCCGTTTGTCTCTGTGATTCCTTGTTGCTTAGTTACCAATGGTTAGGTGGATTCCCGTTCTCCCTAGTGTCTTAGTTTATTGATTATTTCATCTTATTAGTAGTATTTTAGAACACCATCTTCCATTGATTTCGAAATAGCTTAGGTTTTAGGATTGATTAGCAGTTACTCCCGTTCTTCGTGGACCAAACCTTTATTTGCCATTATACTGGTTATAGGGTGTTCGTATAAGTATTGTTTGATTAAGAGGTAGATTGTAGCGACCGATTTAACGCTTGTCAGCGATGCTGATTTCGAGATCACTTTTCAACGTTTCAATGTTCGCCATACTCTTTCACTCCGGGAATTCAATGCAGCTCTTGACCTCAACCCTGATGCTGATCTTCTTTTCCCCGAGTATGAAAACTTTGATGGGTATGCGGAGTGCGCATGGTGGAACGCAATTTCAGGAAAAGAGCAATTCAACGCTCGTTACTCTTTTGCAATTGATGTCTTCCAACCATGTCTTCGGGTGTTGTATAGGCTTTTGGGGTACTCGATTTTCCCCAAGCAAGATTTGGGAAAGATGTCAAAGCTTGAGTTGGTGGTACTTTGGCTAGCCACAAGAGAAGAGCGGCGAAGGAGGTTAAACATGGGACATCTATTCATGAGGAGTTGTTTATCAATGGTCGGAGGAAGGAAAACGGGTGAAATTACTTGTGGAAGTATGGTCACTCGGTTAGCTTCAAGCTTTGGGTATGACCGCTATCTTGCCTTATGTACTCCGGTGGGCGATGCGAATGATATCTACCTCAACTCAAGCAAGTGAATTTCATCGCAAAGAATAGCAATGATGAGGTAGTCGATTGGTTAGTAAGGAATGAGCACCGGTGTTATCTCCTAAACCCTTCCTTGACTTCCTTGCAACGAGATGCTCTGAATATTTGGTTTGTGCCCTTAAGCAATCGGTTACCGGGTAATGAGGAGGAGGATCAGTATGGTGATGATGGTGATGATGATGATGACGATGATGATGGTGGGGGTGGTTATGGTTGTGGTGGTCATGAACAACAACAATAACAACAACGACGACAGCGACAACAACATCAAGGGTCCAATCAAGATATGGAGACTTTGCAAGCACAAATGACGGGCTTGCAACTTGGTTTGGAAGGCATGTTCAAGCAAGATTTTGCGGCCATGCACACACAAATGAAGTGCATGCAAGGACTCATGCAATTAGGTATGTTTCTCCAACAACAAGCTTTGTTTGATGGGAGCGTCAACCGAGGAGAAATCACCCCCGCTGTTAATTCTCCATATTTTCCGCCACAACACGGTCCCGTACTGTCTTGGGGGTGATGGTAAGCCCACATATCCATTTTGGCAAGGTCTACAAGGACCTAGTGCCTAGTTACGCTCTTTTCCGGATGAGCACGGTAACTACGATTACCGTGTGTCCGGTGAGAGCGACATAGGGGTGATCCTTACTACCCCTATGTCGATCCCACTCACCTTGCACTAGTAGAAAAAACCAAATTGGAAGCCAATAATTGGAAGCGTTTTATCAAATCCGCTTCCAATTCCTTACAAATACCCGCCCAAATAAAAAAAAATAAAAGGAAGAATTGGAAGCGGTTTAGGTTGAACCGCTTCCAAAAAGCAATTTGAAGCGGTTCAAACCGCTTCCCGTTTTCAAAAAAAAAACCCGGCATTACCTCCTTTTTTCCCCTCCATTTCAACGTATTTCTTGCTTTGAATTTCCCTCCATTTCTTTGCTTCCACCATTGCTTCCCTTCAACTTC